GAGAGGAGAGGAGAGGAGAGGAGAGGAGAAGGAGAGGAGAGGAGAAGGAGAGGAGAGAGAGAAGAAGAAGGAGAGTAGTGAAAGAAGAAGGAGAGGAGAGAAAGAAGAAGAGGAGAGGAGAGGAAGGAAAGGAGAGGAGAGGAGAGGAGAGGAGAGGAGAAGAGGAGAGAATCTGATGAGGAGAAGAGATAGAGGAGAGGACGGGAGAGGAGAGGTCAGGAGAGGAACAGAGAGGAGAGGAGGGGAGGGGAGGGGAGGGGATGCGAGGGGAGAGAAGGAGGAAGGGAGGAGGAGGGGGAAGGGGAGATGAAAGAGATAGGGCGACAGACAGACAGATAGGACAGGACATGGCAGGACAGGACAGGACAGGACAAGACAAGACAAGACAAGACAAGACACGACAAGACAGGACTAGACAAGACAAGCCAAGACAAGGCAATACAAGACAAGACAAGACAAGGCAAGACAACACACGCCAAACACAATACCAGCCAAAACAATACAAGACAAGCCAATACAAGACAGGACAACGCAATATAAGAAGCTACAGGACAAGGCAAGACACGACAAGACAAGGCAAGGCAAGACAAGACATCGCGACATGACACACACTCACACACACACCACATGGATGGAAGCCACAATCCAAAAATAAAAGGAGGATGAATACTAAAAAAGGAAATAACCGTGCAAGAGGGTCAGGAGAGGAGGAAGCAGGAGAGGAGGCCAATGGGGGGTAGTGGGACGACGACGACGACCACCACCACCGCCACCACCACGACGACGACGACGACGACCACCACAGCCTCGCGACGAGAGAGAGAGAGAGAGAGCGAGAGAGAGAGAGAGAGAGAACAAACAACAGAGAGGAGAAACAGAGAGAGGGGGAGGAGAAGGAGGAGGATGAGGCGGAGGAGGACAGGAAGGAGGGGGAGGAGGAGGATGAGAGGGAGAGGGGGAGGACAAGCTAGGTGCGCTCGCGTCATATCTGACATCCTACCCCTCCCTCCCATCCCTTACCAGGGCGTAGATCCCCTCTCTACTCGCACAGTCGGATGTTGAGCAGGGCAATGATCCCGAAAGGGTACGCGATGCATTGTAGAGCACGGCATGGCATGGCGTAGAAGAGTACCATAAAGCGTAGTATGTCACAGCATGGCGTGGCGTGGCGTATGGCATCGCACAGCGGCCCCGAACATAACATTGCATAGCATGGCGTTGAAGATCGAAGCGTAGCATGGCATAGCATGACGTGGCACTTACGCACTGGATATGACAGCTGCAGCTGAAGGCATGGCATCGCGCAGCGGAACGCAACCTAGCATTGCATTGCATGCCGTGGCATGGCACGGGAAATGACGCCAGCGCTGCAGCGGGAGCACGATTCGGAACGAGCGGAAGCGCGGAAATGAGGCAGCAGCGCTGCAGCGGGAGCACGATTCGGAACGAGCGGAGGCACGGAAATGAGGCCAGCGCTGCAGCGGGAGCACGATTCGGAACGAGCGGGGCCCGAAAATGAGGCCGGCGCCTCAGCGAGAGCAGCATCTTGGAAAAAAATCCAAGCGAAAACCCGACTCCGGGGAATCCTGTGTGCAAAAAAACAATACGCGGGGGGGGGGGGGGGGGCGAATACTCCCAACCCGTCATCAGGGGAAGGAGGAGAGTAGTATTCATGCTGAGTAATTGTAAAGGAGGAGGAAGAGGAGGAGGAGGAGGACGAGGAGGACGAGGAGGAGAAGGAGGAGGAAGAGGAGGAGGACGAGGAGGAGGACGAGGAGGAGAAGGAGGAGGAGGAGGAGGAAGAGGAGGAGGAGGAGGAGGAGGAGGAGAAGGGGGGGGGGCCGCCCGCTGGCCGGTGCCCGTGCCCCCGCGGTCCGCCGCTCCTCCTCGTCCTCTCCGTCGCTCTCCTCGACCACGGCCGCCGCCGCCGCGGCCTCGCGTCGCGGGGGGAGGCCCCGGCGAGTGCACACCAAAGGGGCCCCGCTGGCCCGCCGCCCCTGCGGCCGGCCGCTGCTGCTCGTCTTCTGCACCGCCCTCCTCGACAACGGCCGCCGCCGCATCGGATTCGCAGTGGGCCCTGAGACCCTGGCGTTGCAGTTTTTTCGAGCCGGGCGCTTTCGTCAGGCTTCGGGCCCGGGGACCCTCACAGATCGATCCGGCTCGAAAAGTGACGCAGAGAGATTGGGTCTGGGGCTCCAGTCGTGAATTTTTCACGACCCTTCCATTTTTTCGACACGTTGGTTTCCCAGTACAGAGACACGCCCGACTTAAATCTATTCGGGCCCCAACTGGGAGGCCTAGAGGGCAGAAGACGCCCCTTGCCCCCGAGCCGACATCCAGGGGAAGCACGAGAAGGACGCGAGGACATGGGCCGCCGCAGGAGGAGGAGGAGGAAGAGGAGGAGGAGGAGGAGTCGAGAAGTCGAGGAGTCGAGGAGCCGAGGATGAGGAGGAGAAGGAGGAGGAAGAGGAGGAGGAGGAGAAGGAGGGAAAGGAGGAGCGCGGGTAGCCTGAGGCGAGCGTGTCTCCTGGGCCTCAGGGGGCCCGACCGCCGTGCGCTAGACCGAAGATTTGGCTAGCGCGCGACGAGGGCACGGGCAGCAGCCAGCAACGCGTTGGGCTGGCTGGCCGTGGCCTTTCTGCACTTATTACAGGGGTGGAACGCGAGGACTATGCGTCGGATGGTGGCCTGGAGCGACATATCGCTCGGCACAGGCGGGTAGGCTGCTGCGGGGCCCAGCCCCCAGCTCGTCAGCGTGGTGACGATGGGTGGAGCATCAGGGGACCAGAGGAGGCTCAAGAGGCGAGGACAGGAGAGGTAGTGGGGGAATGAGCCTGGCTGCTCGCAGCAGCCCAATGCGCAGCTGCGCGGCGCGAGCCCGTGCATGCGGGCGGTGGTCGTCCCACCCGCCGGCCAGGGTCCTGAGTGTGGCCCATCGCCAGCTGGGGCGAACGCTACGCAAGGAGTTGGTGAGCGACTCCCATCACTTGGACAATAGCTCAGGGGCAACATGTAAACCCCACGCGCCAATCCGCTTCGTGAGGGTGACCGTGAATGGCGCGGCGAGGAGGAGGGAAAGGAGGAGGAGGAGGATCTCAGGGGAGGTGACCACCTCACCGATCCTGGCTGGGCCCGTCCTGAGCCCAACAGCGGGTGTCTGCGCCTCCATGGCAAGGCCAGGAGGGCCTGGACACCGATCCGGGGCCCAGGGTGGGCCCAGCCAGGGAAGGGGGACCAGGGGATGCGGAACTCGTTTGGGTCCGCGAGCGCCAGGTGGTCCTAGACAGCCCGATGCTGCTCAGCAGGCGGTGGGACGCACCGGGAGCGAATTGAGGCACAAAAGCAAAAGGGATCGGGCGCGAGGAAAAGCGAAGAGGCGGGAACATGGGATGCGGAAAAAGCGCACCCTTGCGTGCTTGTGTGCTTGTGTGTAAAGAGGTTGCAAATGTGTATAATCACTGTGTGTAAATAGACGCATGTACGTGTACATGTATGTGTAAATGTACGTGTACGTGTACGTGTACGTGTACGTGTACGTGTACGTGTACGTGTACGTGTACGTGTACGTGTACGCGTACGCGTACGCGTACGTGTACGTGTACGTCTAAATGTACGTGAACATGTACGTGTACGTGTGTGTGCGTGTACATGTACATGTACGTGTGCGTGTACGTGTATGTGTACGTGTACGTGTACATGTACGTGTACGTGTACGTGTACGTGTGCGTGTACGCGTACGTGTACATGTACGTCTAAATGTACGTGAACGTGTACGTGTGTGTGTGTGTGTGCGTGTACATGTACGTGTACGTATGCGTCTGCGTGTACGTGTACGACGCCGTGTACAGGTATGAAATCGTGTACGTGTACGTGGACGAGTACGTGCAGGTGTAAGAGTAGGTGTAGGTGCACGTGTACGCGTACGTGTACGTGTATGCGCTCGTGCACATGTGCGTGTACGTGTACGTGCACGTGTGCGTGTACGTGTACGAAGCCGTGTGCAAATATGACATCGTGTACGTGTACGTGTACGTGTACGTGCACGTGCACGTGTACGTGTACGTGTACGTGCGCGTGTACGTGTACGTGTACGCGTACGTATATAAAGCCGCGTACAAGCATGACATATTGCACGTGCACGTGCACGTGTACGTGTTTAAAACCGTGTGCAAATATGAAATCGCGTACGTGTACGTGTAGGTGCAGGTGTAGGTGTAGGTGTACGTGTACGTCTACGGGAACGTGTACGTGTACGTGTACGTGTACGTGTGCGTGTACGTGTACGTGTACGTGCGCGTGACGTGCACGTGTACGTGTGCGCGGCCGTGTACAAAGCCGCGTACACGCATGAAATATTGTACTGTACGTGTACGTATACGTGTGCGTGTGCGTTTGCGTGTGCATTTGCGTGTGCGTGTGCGTGTGCTTGTGCGTGTGCCCTACGTGGCATCGGAAAGGGCGCGGGAAGCTCCTCGGAACGCCGAAAGCCTTCTGAGCCTCCTGAGAAAGCCCGCCGCCTCCGCTTGCCCCCCTTGGCGCGCCGCCGAACAAGGCTAAATGAAGGTGCACAAGAGGACGATCCGCGGCAGCCCGGCCTTCTAGCAGGACGCTGGAAAAACGCACGAAAAGCGGGCTCTACGCGTGGAGCGTGCGGGGGCCACTTGCTGGATTCACACGCGGAGGATCCCCGTGCCCGGCGACGCGAAGGCCGATCGCTGGAGAGGCACGTGGCCACATGTGCATCCGGCTCTGGCCCAGGCGGGCCGCGTCATGTGCATACAGCTTCCTAAAAGGCCCCTTGCGTGTGGTACGTATGCTCGGCCTGCGCCCGTCGGACTCTGGGGCCCGCCTGAAGCGCCCCCCCTGTCCACCTTGAGGGGGGGGATGGCCGCCCTGCAGGGAGCGATCCCCCTCCGAGCAACATTGGGGGAGCCGGGGGGGGGGAAGCGGGAGGCATAGAGGCCTCCCAATGGGGACCGAAGAAATGAGGTCGGAAGATTGCGCCGCATCGCCGATGCATCTCTTGAACCATGGGTGGAAATTATATACATACAGATGTTTGTATATATACACATATATACATACGTACATACAAACATACATACATACATACATACATACAGACATACATACATACATACTGACATACATACATACACATACGATATAAACGTATGTGAGCACACTTGTATACATATAGCTAGTTCTACTATATATAAATGTGTGCGTGTGCCTGTCTGTCTGTCTGTCTGTCTGTCTGCCAATTTGTCGGTTTGTCTGTTTGAATATATGCCCGTATGCATGTCCGTATGTACTGTGATTGTTTGTATGTTATGTATGTGTGTATGTATGTACGTGCGTACGTATGCACGTGTGCATGTATGGGAATATGTATGCATGTGCGTATGCATGTTTGTATGTGTGCGTATGTACGCATATATGTATGTCGGTGTGTATGCATGTACAAATGTATATGTGTGTGGTACGTATGTATGTGTGTATGAACTGATGTATGGATGGTGTATGTTGGTATGTACGTCTACATGTGTATGTATATACGTGTATGCGTGTATGACTATTGATGTATGCATGCATGTATGCATGTGCATGTGCATGTGTATGCATGTATAGGTGGTTGTATGTATGTGTATGCACGTATGGTTGTAACCGTATGACTATGTTGGTGTGCACAAATGTGGATATGTATGTATACATGTACGTATGTATGCATGCATGTATGTATTTGTGTACGTGTATGTATACATGTGTGCATGCATGCATGCATGGATGCGTGTAAACGCAAGTGTAGAAATTTTACCTGGACCACGCGCGGGCTACGCGCGCGCCTAGGTTCTAATCGCAGATGAGCCACGGGTGCCGCTACAAGCCCCGCTGTGGCTACAACGACGAGTTCCCGCGTTCTCGGGCCCATGCCATCGACGCAGAGAAACGCGTAGTCAGAACGCGGGGCGCCACGTTCCCGCGAGTCTCACAATCTCCCTGCCGCCTTGGTTTGGTTTATCGAACTGCGTGATTTTCTCCATTTTCATTTCCGCGTTGCCCCGTCGCGACACTCAATGTTTTTGCACATTTGCTCGGTCTCCCCATGCTCGATCACGCAGACATCTGCCGGCTGGTGATGTTGGGGTTGGCTCGGGGCCTCGTTGCGCGCGCGTGGGAACGCGTTGTTTTTGTTCCTCGTCCTTGTGTTCCAGGTTTCTCGTTTTCAGCGGTCGTTCAGCTGTCGGGAGGGCGAGCGCAGACGTGCCCTTCTCTGCAATCAGTTGTTGTCGAGTCCGTCCACGGGAATGGGGAAGCTTCTTTGAACTGGACGCCAAACCTCACGCCAGCGATAATCGCAGCCTTGGGGGCACAAGGTCCGGGCTCAAGGGGGATGCTCAATGATTTGCCTGGCAAGTCCCATGTATGGGGTTGCCAAGAGCTCTGACGGGGCCTCTGGCTGTACCTTCTTGGCGCTATGGCGAGGTCTTTCAGAAGGTGTGGAAGGGGCACGAAACCTGAGAAATGGTACAATGATGCCACACCCCGCTCGCTCGGGCGGGTCCGCCCTGCAAGGGTGGGAGGAGCAAGAATCGCGTGAATAATTTGGTGTAGGGATGCCCTGCTCTCTCTCTCTCTCTCTGGCGGGGGTTTCCCTGGCGCTCTGGCAGGACTTGCCCAGCAGGGGAAGGAGGAGCACGAAACCAGAGGAAAATTATGGTATGGCCACACCCCGTGCGCTCTGACGGGGCTACCTCGAGTGCGGTGGGAGGAGCAAGACAGAACAGGGACTGTATATGGTATAGCAACACCCCTGTCGCTCTGCCGGGGCCGCCCTTGAGGGTTGGGAGGGGCAAAGCAGCTTGTATAATGATAGGGTATAGCGATGCCCCGCTCGCTCTGGCGGGGCCTGTCTGGCGCTCTGGCGGGGCCG